AGGAGTAGGATTGAGCTAGTGCTCAGTAATACATTCTATAGGCAATGTGTAGCCCCATCAGTTTCTTTGTAAAAAATTGTGACAACAATAACTTTCTGATCATGAACTGAACTGGTGTGTACTTTTTGATTGTAAAGTCATTCTCAATTTTGAGAAATGGAATTACCTCCTAGTGTCAGTGGAATGTTAACTCCGACACCAAGTAGTCTAGGTAGTTCAGATACTTTGGATTGTAGGCATAGTTCAATAAAATACCATCAGATGTTTTCTTCTAATCTGAATCCTGTTAATCAGTAATGTCAATGCAGTTGTAAAAAGTTTCCCTGAGTCGCTGCCAGAAAGCAAGAGCATGAACTAATGTTTTTCTATCACATGTTTATTTATACTGGTTCTTTCTTTTTACATTTGTCCTTGGGGCAGAAAGGTGGATGTAAATATATGCACAACACTCAGAAGTGTTAACTTCATTACCTTTTTGGGTACTCATTGCTATTCCAATACTATATTAGTATTCACTCTAAGAAACACTCTCAGCTGCTGTCAAGGTACATTTTAACAAATTGCTTGATTTTCTAGCTAGTATATGCACAAATCCCCCCTTGACTTTAATAGGAGCTCTAATAGTAGGACCAGAACAGAATTAAAATAATTGTTCTCACTTTTCATGAGGATGAACTATTTGCTAATTATTCAAAGTTGTGCACTTTTGCCCCATATAAGGGAAGAAAGTGAAAGTTTCCTTATCCATTCATCAACAAAATCTCTCTCTTTTCCCTCTCATTACCATTCTGTTGTTAGTGAAACAGAAGATGAACAGAAGGTTCTCACTTCAGTAATTGTGGGCAGCACCTGCCAAACTGTTGTAAGATAACAATGTCTTGCACCCGGGCCCTGGAGACTCAACAAATGTTTTTATCATACACACAGCTGAGTAGAGAAGATTAATTTCAAAGCTAAACTTGGTTTACATAATTATCCAAAGAGCTTTTTGTTGCTTTGAGATTTTTTTCTATCAGGTACTTGTTAGTGCCATTTTATGGAGACAGCAACACCACTTTAGTTTGAATTTTATAGGTAATTATTATCAAGTACCAAAATGTTAGTGACAGTTACACTTACGTGCAAAAAAATAGATCTTTAAAACTAACAAAATTGGGGAAAATTCTCTTTTAACAAATATGTTTCAATTTATAGTCATTCACTGGCCCTTTGACAGGGTTGAATAATAAAATGCAAAAACAAAGTCTTCAGAAATACTACCACTGCTAGACGTCACCTACATTTGCACTGTTATTTGAAAGTTAAGTCACTGACAATGAATTTTTGCAATTTAAATGTGATCCACCGAAGAAATAACAAAAAGGATTTTATCAAAATGTTGTGTAATTACAAATATTTGTAGAAGCAGCAGTTTCTGATGTATTTCAGTATATAACTTTATAAAACCTAGTGCTTCAGAGTTGTACTGTAAGGATGTTGAAAGTCCATTGTGACTCTTGCATAATTTATTCCTTATTTAAAAGCGCTTTTAACCTTTATCCATTGAGCCTCTTCCTTACAGCGTGACTCTGTGCGGATGGGGAAGAGGGATGTAAGGAAACTTGTGGGATCCGGACCATAATGCAATTTCATTTGTGTCTCAAAGGATTCTGTATCAGACATGTTCCGTTTGCAAGTAAATTGATGTTTTCCCCCAGCTGCCAGCCCTTCAGACTCAGCATGGGCTCTAAGAGTCAAGCTGGGGTATTTCTTGTGCATTGTAACTAGTGATAAAGCTTCTGAGGATCTCATTGTGCTCTGCATGATATGTTTGGGCAAAAGTGTCTTCACTTGTGCAATTATTTGGAGACTCACACCTTTACTTAGGATTGATTCTGGTCAACATATATTGAAATTAACTTAAAACAATATTCCTTCCCTTGATTCTTCCATATGAAAATCTGATTTACACATCCCTCTATCCAATTTTATGGATTTTTTTGTCCAGTGTTTGTATCATTTGAAACTCCTGCAATTTTTAAAATGTTCATAAAGTCAATAATGTTTGTTTTACACTTATGCTTAAACGCTTAAACCTAGCTATGTCTTTTCTTTGCGGCTTAACATAATTCGCAGCTAGATCCAGGTTAGATTTATTAGTTTGGTTTATAGTGTTTGTTACATGGTTAAGCAAGTGTGAAAGCTGTTTCAAATTTCTGAATAAAAATAGAAAAAGGGAACTTCACATTTTCACTTCTCTTGTTTAATTTGAAAGCTTATACCAGTGCCCTCTGAATAAAGATGGAGAATAAAGTTTTCAAAAGTGACGAATGGAGCCTAAGTCTGTTGACTCTTGATTGATTTATTTCTTGGCAATTTACCATATCACCCACACGTAAGTGGGTCATTCAAAAATTAAGGTCCCACTCCCATAATCATGTGCTTTTTCAGGGCTTGTCAGAGTGGTGCATTATTTCGCAGCAAAGGGATATACATTTAAGTGTATGCTAGCATCCTGTGGACTAATTGGCCTGTGTGGATTCTGCTGGCATGCAGTAAAATTTTCCTATTGTATATGAATGTTGTCCCTTTTCAAACTGGGCACTAAGAAGTTTTTAGTGAATACCACAAGGATCTGCATGGGCTAGTTAGTGTGCAAAACATTAGCGCACACTAGAATTTACATGCCAGTGGTGCAGACTAATTCACTGCGCACAGACAACCCCTCAATTTTTCATGTTGGCAATCCTTTTTTTTTTTTTTTTTTGAAGTAAAAATTATCCCTTTACATTTACTATAAGACTATGTCAACACTCACGGCTTCTTGCACAAGAACTCTTCAGCAAGAAAACATCCACACTGCCATGTGCGAGCTGTGCTTTTGCTCAAGAGCGCCCATGGCAGTGTGAACACTTTTTTGTGCAAGAAAGCTCTGGTGGCCATTTTAGCCATAGGGCTTTCTTGCGCAAGAAATCCCTGCCGAGCGTCCACACTACCCTCTTGCGCAAGAGCTCTTGTGCAAGAGGGCTTACACCTGTCAAAAAAGAGCGTAGCTCTTGCAAGGAGCCCTCTTTTACCACGCCGTACTGTAAATTTACTTGAGCAAGAGCGGGCGGGCAGTGTGGACGCTCTGCAGATTTTTGCGCAAGAAAGGCTGTACTTGCGCAAAAAGCCACGACTGTAGACATAGCCTAAAAGTATACCAATATATTAAACCTATATAATGTGTATATGTGATTTCAAAAGTACAGAGTGAATGATTTGCCTTGAAGGATAAAGGTGTGAAGGGAGTAAGATTTTCTTAGCTTTAGATTTTTATAAAAGTTTCGATATGGCCCTCAATTGCCTTTATAACCACTCTCTTCACCCTTGAGAAACACAGCGCTAAACCTTTGCTAATATAAGTCATTGGGATTTGTTCTAGATCAGATGGGCTGCTTTTTCACTGATGGTAACATGTTCAAAACCACTTACATTTCCAAATGGCTGAATTACTTTTTATCTTAAATGTGAATATACCCCGATATGAGAGAATTGTGTAATATGCTAAGATCCCCAATGAAAATATACTCAATTAAAAACATATATTACATTTAGCAAAATATACAAATATCAGTCTGATTCTAAAATTTCCTAACCAGACCAGGCCAGAGGAAGAAAGCCAGATAACACTGTTGTTTCAGCTAAATCCTGAACACCAGCTAAGTTGTGAGACTTTTATCACTGTTCCATGTGTCCCTTTTCTTTACTACCTTATTTATGTTCTTAACTTCCTCCTTTTTTCCTAAGTTTAGTAAGAACCTGGCTAACCCAACCAAGACTGCCTATTTTGCCATACTGCTATAAGGTTGTGGCCAGAAAGGTAGTTAAAAACAATGCTCTAAACATCCTGATGCAGGACACAGTTGTTAGGTCTCGGAGAGGCTGATAAAGCCATGTATTCTGTCTGTTTCTCCTGCAGTGAAATGGCCAGTAAGGGTGCGTCCACACTGCACTGTAACTTGAAGTAAGATATGCAGTTTGAGCTACGCACATTGCATATCTTATTTTGATGCTATTTCAAAATAGCTTATATTGTCATTTGGCTCTGCCTACACAGCACCAAATTTTGAAATAAAGCACTATTCTGAAATGTCTCTTACTCCTCATAGAATGAGATTTACAGGGATGTTGGAATAGCAAGTCCAAAATAACAGGCTTTCTGTGAAGACACGGGATAGCTATTTCTGGATATTCTAGTATCCCAAAATAGCGTAGCAGTGTAAACATACCCTGGGTATGTCTACACTACCACCTTAGTTCGAAGTAGGGTGGTAATGTAGGCAACTGGAGTTGCAAATGAAGCCCGGGATTTGAATTTCCCGGGCTTCATTTGCATATTGCCAGGCACCGCCATTTTTAAATGTCCTCTAGTGCGGACTCCATGCCACGCAGCTACACACGGCACGGACTAGGTAGTTCGGACTAGGCTTCCTATTCCGAACTACCATTACTCCTAGTTCCATATTGCCATTTCATGTTACAAGTAAAAATATTTTTTTACAATTACTTCACTTTTTCCTGAAAAACACTTTAATAACCACTTACACAATAAGTCCAAAATTTACCAGCGCATAAGTACATCCAACCATCTGTCACTGAACTTAAACTTCAGAAAGAACCAACAACTAGGAAGTTAGTTAAGTCACAGGAAAGGAATAACTAATGACTAGCAAACATGCCCTGAGCAGATTCCTCAAAAAATAAGTGCTAAAACCTTATTTACTATAAAGACAATAAATTTCACATCATTAACTACAGTAGTAAACACATTCAATATAGTCCAGTTTAATGCACATTTTAAAATGGCGGCGCTCGGCAATATGCAAATGAAGCCCGGGAAATTCAAATCCCAGGCTTCATTTGCAACTCCAGTTGCCTACATTACCACCCTAGTTTGAACTAGGGTGGTAGTGTAGACATACCCCCTGAGAGTTAATATTAGAGAGAGAAAATATATTTTCTATCTTTATTCCCCTCCCCTCTTGTATGTTTATATTTGTCTTCTTTTGCCTTCTGGGAAATGGGACAGCATTCAACAACAACAGTTCCAGTCTATCTCAACTGAAGTCTTCTTTTCCTCCAAAAGGACAGTTATTAGCATCTACAAGATTGTCAATAAAGGTGGGTTTATTTCTAAAAATTCTCCTCAGCTGAAGAAAAAGGGAGGAAGGGATGTTAAAATGAAAGATTTTTACTTAATACTTTACATTCCACATACTTTAACTGCTTTTCTGTGTCTTTAATACAAGGCAAAAAAGATTTTTAATTAAGTTTGCCATGGTACTTACACAATAAGTTTGCCATGGTACTTAAGATCTCTGTATGGCTCACGTTGATACCTTTAACATTTTGGTCTCATATATTCCATCTACAGTACACCACCACTATCTTATACAAAGTAGAAAACAATGCAACCACACTGACAAAACCTGTGTTATGGAAGATTGGCCCTATAGGCCAAAAGTATATCCAAATCTTGCTCACCTGTTTCATAGAGGGAAACTCATTGTGTTTTGTAGGACTTCTTGTGTGAGGCTTCCACAGCATGTACCTGAAACTTGACCTTAAGGTAAATTATCAGCCTTTGCTTATGTTAGTAAAGATAAAATGTTACAGAGCAAACAGACAGATTTCCCAATAGTGCTTTCAAAATAATTTTGCCCACTTTGGATAAAAGTCTGCTGATAAAACATTTCTCCCTACCTCAGTCCTGAAGTCCCTTGCAAGCATACGATATTTACAGAGCTTCTGCTGATTCAAGTTAAAAATGTGTTAACTACTGCAGTGGGGCATGTCTAGGAACACCAGTGTTTATTTTAAATGAGTTGCCTAATGCAGCAGATCTGAATGATTGAGTACAGATACGGGGCCAGGCTCTGTGCTGATTTACATGCAGTACAGTTCTGTGGCTTGAATGGAGTTCTAGCCGGTGTAAATTGAAGCAAAATTTGGCTGGAATATAGTAATATCCATTTCATATTGTCTTTCAATGGAAGTATATACAGGCAGTTCCCGGGTTACGTACAAGATAGGGACTGTAGGTTTGTTCTTAAGTTGAATTTGTATGTAAGTCGGAACTGGTACATATTGTAGAGGAAACTCTAGCCAAACATTTCTCCAGAGCTCAGTTTTATTCTCCCACACCTCACTTCCCTCAGTCCTTTATTCTCAAGCTGAGGTGTCTGCTGAGAAAAGCCGCTCCAGATCTCTCTGGTCTGTTGGTGGCAGGGGGGCGCTAGCTTCGCGTCTCCCTGGTCTGCTGGGGGGAAGCAGCTAGTGCGGGGTTGCCTCACCCCGTTTGTAAGTAGGGATCCGATGTAAGTTGGATCCATGTAACCCGGGGACTGCCTGTACTAAAAGCCACATTCAGTTTTAAGGACCTGTGCTGGAGAGGTTCCTGGTAGTTACCCACATGGGAGGGAGTTGTTTCCTTTGAAATTATACTGTGTTCCATGGATCTGTTTATTACCGACCAGTTCTATAAGGTATGTCTACACTAGCCCCGTTGTTCAAACTAGTGGCTGCAATGAGGTGTAACAATTAATCCAAACTAAGGATTTAGTTCAGATTAACTTCTGACTGCCGCCTGTAGCCACGGGCAGTCAGTTTGAACTAAGGGGATTTAAAAATGGCGCCCGCCCGGGAACATGCAAATGAAGCAGGGATATTTAAATCCTGGGCTTCATTTGCAAGTTCGAATGCCTACATTAGCCACCCTAGTTCGAACTAAGGGTCTAGTACAGACATACCCTAAGACATGAAAGATGAAGGATAGTAAGATCATCAAAACAGATGCAAGGTTTACATTTTTCTAGTTTACAACTTTTAAGAGCCCTTGCCAAAAACATTATCCTAGCAATCTCCTAATAAAATATGCTTTAAATTTGACAATATAATTGGTCATTCTTTTCAATAATTTCTTTTGTATCTTGACAAGTTTTTGGGAAAGGGTTTTTAAAAACCCTTGAAATATAAAACATTAGAAAACATATTTAATATTTGTCTGCTTGTCCCACAGATCTCTTATGTTTTCTTGTATTCTGTTCCCAATGTGCAAAAATACTTCCGTGATCTATAGTGTCACTTCCTATTCTCTAGGAACACAGAATTTGCCATGCTGGCTCATGTTTGATGTCTGTCTAGTCTATTATTCTGTCTCCAAGGGTATGTTTACACTACAAAGTTAATTCGAAAGAACAGCAGTTATTTCGAATTAACTTTAATAGCGTCTATACAGGCAAACCGCTATTTTGAAATAAATTCGAAATAGTGGAGCCCTTATTTCGAATTTGGTAAACCTCATTCTACGAGGAGTAATGCCAAATTTGAAATAGCTATTCCGAATTAAGTGCTGTGTAGACACTTAATTCGAAATAGGGGGCCTCCAGCCCTTCCCAGGGAGCCCTGGTGGCCACTCTGGGCACAACCAGGAAAGCTTACTCTCCTCTCCCCCAGCCCAGAGACATTAAAGGAGTAGACCCTGGCCACAGTGCCTGTGCCAGCTCCAAGCCTGCCAGCCCAGAGCCAGCAGTGGGCACCAGGGCCCCTGACCCAGTGGCCCCAAAACATGAGCCAGCAAGCCACTGGCAGCCAGCCCTCCACCCCTCCCCAGGAGGAGGCTGCTAGCTCCCAGGAGCTTGCCAGGGGCTGAAGAAGGCGGGAGCCTTCCTGGTCCAGGGTGGAGATCATGGACCTTATTCAGGTTTGGGGGGATGCCCTGAACATCCATGATCTCCACACTAAACGGAGGAATGCGGCTGTCTATGGCAGGATAGCTGCTAGCCTGGCGACCAAAGGTCACATGCGAACCCAGGAGCAGGTTTGCATGAAAGTCAGGTTGGTCCGGCGAGACCCCCAACCATGAGCCCTGAGCTTTCCCTCCCCCTTCTTCCCCTTGCTTCTTCCTTCCAGCTACCTCCTCCCAGGTTTCCCCCTCCCCTCTCACACCCTCTCTCTTCTCCTCTCCCACCTCCTTTTCCCAATCTCCCCAGAGGTTCATTTCCCCCCCAGTTTAGTTCAATAAATCCAGTTTCTATTTTTGAACATACATGTCTTTTATTTGACATCAGGAAGGGGGGCTAGGGAGGGGTAAGTGGAAGGACGTGAGGGAGGAATGGGGCATGAGCCCCTGGTGGGGAGGACCAGGGAGGCTCTGAGGGCTTCTCGGGGTGGACACTCTCCCTCAGGGCCTCCTGGATCCTGACAGCCCCTCGATGGACCCCCTGGATGGCAGCCTGCAGCAAGTGTAGCCGGGCTAATGGCAACAACCCCACAAGATGCATCGGCGTGCCCAGGGGCAGCTCTGGCTCCATGTGGCCGAGTGCTGTGGTGTCCCGAATGCGGGCACTCAGGGCACTCCAAGACAGGACTGCTTTGCTGTCTCTCATCGAGGTAGACAAGCAAGCGGGGAACCCTGAGAACTGTCTGTCAGGGGTGGGGGGTAGGGTCCCTTTAAGCACGGAGCTCAGTTAGCCTCAGGCAGCAGCCCCACACACTAAGTCCTAACCTGATGCCCTGCCAGCACTGGTACCGGCCAGCCTTAACTTCGGTTCAGGGTCCACTCAGTGTGGACGTGCTATTTTGAAATAGCAAAATGCTATTTCGAAATAGTTTTTGTGTATAGAGCTCTTTCGCAAAAAAGGAATGTGTGGAAGGGGAAGAGGCGTTTTTAGTGCAAAAAGAGCCAATCAAAAAAAGCAAAGATGCCCTTGTGGCCATTCTGTAAATAGCAATCAGAGTTTCCTTTCAAGAGAGTGTCCATGCAGTCTAGACGCTCTCTTTTGCTAAAGCATATTGCTTTTTCAATGCGCTTTTGCGGTGTGGATGCTTTCTTGCACAACAAGTTTTTTGCAGAAGATCTCTTCTGCTAAAAGGTTCTTGCACAAGAAGTCTGTAGTGTAGATATAGCCTTAATATCTCTTCCAAAATGATTTTTAGATGTACTATTATAATGAAGGATATTCTTGTTATCCTTAGAACTATCCAGACACTTTTAAATCTTGATAAGTTCTTGGGATCAACAACTTCCTTTGGCACTGAGTTACACAGTCTACGTGCATGCTGCATGAAAAAACATTTAGTGTGTTAGTTCAAATTTGCCATTTTAATTTTATTGAATCTCTCTAGCACTAGTGTTGAGGAGAAACATTTCTCAGCTGAGGGAAGGATATCTGGTTTCTTGGGTTGGCTGCTGGAATCATGGGGAGGAGAACAAAGAGGTGGGAGGGCGTGACACTGTTGGATGGGCCAGAATCATCCAGAATTTGGGTGTGGCAGGCATCAGATCCATCCAAGTTGCTTCAAACTGCTAATGAGCATCTCTCCATTGTGGGCAAGCAGCCTGGTAGGATACTCTCTGACTACGTCTACACTACAGACTTCTTGTGCAAGAAGCCTTTTGTGCTAGATTTTTTTGCGCAAAAGCTTCTTGTGCAAGAGCACGTGCACACATCAAAGCACCTCGCTTTTGCAAGGCATTTTTGTGCTAGAGAGCATCCACACTATTGGATGCTCTCCTGCATATAAAACCCACCTGGAAACAGTTCTAGCTGGGTCACCAGTTGCTCTTGTTGCTGGAGCCCTCTGGAGATGCGCGCTTAAAGGGACCCCCCTGGACAGCTGCTTCTCTGTCTCTGCAGCCCACTTGCTAGCCCCTTTGCAAAGGTAAGCCAGATGAGTCTGCACAGTTGATGGCCTAGATGACCTGCAGAAGCAGAGACAGGAACACATACAACAGAGACTGAGAGGAGCTGTGTGCTCCCCGTGGGACATGGCTGCCCCACTTCATGGCCCCCCACCCTGCAGGAGCCACCTCCCCCATTAGCCCGTGCCCTTTGCTCTTTGTGGACCACACAGCTTTCTACTACTCTGCCCTGTGCTATGGAGCTGGAGCTTCCCCTGGGCATGCCACAGACCCCCAGGGCTAGGCTGCACTCCCTGCAGTGCCTGCTTCAAGCAGGAGCTCTCTTCCTCATGGAGGTGGACCCCGAGATCTTCCTCCTTAACCTCTGTCTGTCTGCAGGTACTCCATTATGGGGTGCCCCAGCCCACCATACCCAGAAGAATTTGGAGGCTGGACACCAGCTCGGAGTGGTGGGACTGGCTGGTCATGGAACAGTGGGATGACTAGCAATGGGTGCAGAACTTCCACATGCAGAAGGCCACCTTCCAGGAGCTCTGTACCTGGCTGGCACCTGCCCTCCAATGATGTGACACGCATCTGCAGCCCGCCATCCCACTCCAACAGCAGGTTGCCATCGCCCTCTGGAAGCTGGCCACCCCTGACAGCTACCACTGGAGGCCGTCCTTATGCAAGTAAGGACGTCACAGGATGCAGCCCCTGCATGGGGAAAGGGGAGTGTTGCATAAGGGGGACCCTCAGGACGGGAGGGCTCAGCACTGTACGGGGTGGGGGGAAAGCCTTGGCCCAGCAGGCTGGTGCTTTCTCACCCTCACACTGGCCTGGTTGGGGGAGTGGGGT